GCTGTTGCATACCGATATGAGCATAGGTTGGTGGAAACGGCCGAGAGGCTGAGAGACCAGTGGCGGTCGTGGAGACATGTACTCCAGTAGTTCCGAAAGTTGACCCGGCAGATGGTGCTGGTGATGAACCAGTCATTGTTGACAGTAGTCTTAATTCCAGATAGCTCTCATACCATGAAATAACTTGTCCAATATTGTAGAATACTAAGTATAAAACTGCAAACACGAGCACTTGGAAATCCTCAAGTGTTGGTCCAGGATCTTTACTGGAATGGTAGACTACTAAGACAGCGGAAGTCTTGTAAAAGGTAACAGTCAAAGGTTGAATAACCTGAGTACGTGAACTTGTGAGTAATCAAAGTTAATAATGAAAAGACCTAACAAGGATTTATAGTTCTAGGAAAAGTACCTATTCGCTAATGTACCTGTTCGTCACTATCGCGCTATGCGCCCTAGATGATACTCAAGAGATGCGACTGTTCGCGTGACTGAAACGAGTGTCCTCATGACGAGCGCTATTTGCTGACGTCACCCTACGGACTTATGTTCTACAGTAGGATTCGACACTAACTACACCTAATCGACTTACAGAAATGCTACGTATCAATTATATCACAACAGGATATACCTAGCAGGGTTTCAGCTAGGATTTAGGGCTGTCTGAAAATCAGACGGGTTTCCAAAGTTTCGTCTGACCATCAGACGAACATTTTCAAGGAGTGAGATTTCAGACGAATTTTTCCCGTGAGTCTGAACATTCAGACGAAAAAATTGCCGCAAGAAACTTCGCCACTTGCAATTTAGACTTCAATTTTTCTGTTTCCTTATTTCCTGCGGAGAGCCTGTTCCTCTGAACTTCTTCTTCCCAGACTTGGACCCGCCTACGAGCACGTTCGAAGGTTCCTTGTCAAGCAGAAATTGTTTCAGTATCACTATTCTCAGCTGCTTCGAATCTGCTCGGGTAAAAATCGTACTGTACGGATGCGCGCCTGTCTCAAAAAGGCGCGCCTGAGAAGTTTGAAAACAGGGCCTGAACCTTGACAGTCACGACCCCGAATCAGACCACGCGGAACCGCATTGAACCGTTTTGCATAGAAATTTTAGCGCGAGCCTGGGGAGATTGACCAGGGCCTGCGTACTGTATCTGCCTACAGTTCCAGGGCCTCGCACGTAACGTGACGTGTCACGCACAAGCAAGCAACCCTCACTTTACGCACCGCCATCGCAGGTATACGGGAGGGGGGGGGGGGGGGATGGGGTGGGAGGGTCTTTAGCCAAAATTTCATGGTCTAGCTGTGAGGGACTTCATCGGAAAAACATGGCTTGAGGGGTGTGTGGCAAAATGTATCTCGCAATAGGGGTCTTAGCTGAATTTTAGGGGTTGTGAGTGGTGTGAAGAGGCATGTCTCTGGTTTCAGGGACTTCGCGGAAATTTTATTGCTGCGAGGGGTATGTGGAGGAATATGTCTGGTCTGGAGGACTTAGCCGGAAAAACTCTTGGTTGTGGGGGACGGGAGTCGGGGGGGGGGGGGGGTTTGGGGAAGGGGCGTTGGGGAGAGGAGGAATGTATCAGACGAAAAAATCCGCGCTACAGTGGCGGAAACAACCACATGTTTAGCATATTTTTACATTTTGACGAGCTGTACGCTATAAACATTAAGCCTTAATTCATGGTGGCCATACACGTAGAGAGGATCAGTTAGAGCACTCACTCAAATCTCCTAAAACCAGACTAGTATATTTCATGGTCCTTCAAGACGACAACATTGAATAACAGCACATCCGGACAATTTGTACCGGGGACATGTAGCAAACTAGTTACTAGCAAAACTAGTACCTAGTCAACCGACACTTGGCCTTGATCACCACCTACACCCTCCTAGGCATGTTATCTACGAGGTTAGTGCAAACCTTTACAGGGATCTTCTCGCACTCTTCCTGGACCCATGCTTTTGCATAAGGGGGTGAGCACTAGGAAAATCGCGAAGTATTTGAACGTATGCAAGAGTACTGTGCACGATTTCATGTTGAATGTTATCTCTAAGACTAGCCATGCTGAGGTGTGGCCAAAGATGCCATTAGTCGATTGGTCTCATCTTATCATGGATCGTCTTCATCGCACCGTTGTAGGTAAAAATTACGAGCAGAGTGGCGAAAAATTGCGTATCTGCCATGAAACTTAGGGTAACATAGCACGGTTAACAGTGCATTCTTGCACTATTAGAATCATGCTAGGATCCGTATGTCTCTGAGCAGTGCAGCAGTCGAAGTAGTCGTGACCGGTGGGGAAAAATATCCGGGTTGAGATCTGGTGAGCAAAAGGGTCACTCCAATGCTATATACTCGTGTTCTCTAAGCCATTCTAAGCCATGTGTCCCACCTAGGCTTGGAATGGCTTGGAGAGCATGAGTTTATAGTGTTAAAATTATATAAGTTATAATTTATATAGGCTTGGTAGGTTGTTACTGAACCTTTTCTGTAGAGGGTACAAACCCCTCCTTGTACTCCTCTCTCTTCCTAATCCAACTCTCTTTTCCTCTCCTCAACTTTCCTAGCACCTAAAACCTCTCGCCATTCTCATGGCTCCTCCTAGCTCCTAGCTAAACCTTGTGCCATTCTATGGCTTCCTAGCTAAGCTAGTCTTTTGACATGGTATTAGAGCAGTTCGTTCCGTGTGGGCCTGCTCCTCGCGTTTCCGCTGCGTGCTCGTTTCTCTCTCTATCTCGCGCTGCCATGGCGGCCGCGTCAAGCTGCTGTGGCCGCGTCGTCGTGCCGCGGCGCCGCTGTCGACGTCCATGGCGCCCGCGTCCAGCTGCTGTGGCCGCGCCGTCGTGCCGCAGCTCCGCCGTCGCGTCAGGATGCTGTCGCGACGTGACGGCGCCGTCACGCTGCCGCGGCGTCGACGCGACAGCGCGCAGTCGGCGTACCAGCGACGTCGTGCTGCCGTCGCAGCGTCGACGCCCCGCTGCGGCATCGACGCCGCTCCATGACGGCGTCGTCGGGCTGCAGCCGGCCGCGTGACGCTTGTGGCGCCGCTAGACCGGCCGCCCGCATGTCATCCTGTGGCGCCGCCCCCCCCCCCCACCCCCCCTCCTTCCCCTGCGCCCTCTTCCATTCTGCAGACGACGGCTGACTCCCGCCGGCCGTCCCACAGTCGCGGGGCCAGGCCACGTCACCGAGAGGTGCGGGTGCCGCCGCCGCTGCCACTGTTGTCGAAGCCGCCGCCGCCGCCGCTGTCGCCGCTTGCGTCGGGGCCACGCAGCCGCACGCCGCCGCCGCCGCCGCTGTCGACACTGCCGCCGCTGCCGCCGTCGCCGCCGCAGCCCCTGCGGTCGACGTCGCCGCCTCACGCGCCGTGGGGTCGACCGACCTAGAGTCGCTGTCACTGTGGCTGGAATGGGGGTGCTAGGTTAGGGGGTGTGGGTGTGTGTGGGTGTGTGACTACCAAGCCTAGGGGGTGTGTTAAAATTATATAAGTTATAATTTATATAGGCTTGGTAGGTTGTTACTGAACCTTTTCTGTAGAGGGTACAAACCCCTCCTTGTACTCCTCTCTCTTCCTAATCCAACTCTCTTTTCCTCTCCTCAACTTTCCTAGCACCTAAAACCTCTCGCCATTCTCATGGCTCCTCCTAGCTCCTAGCTAAACCTTGTGCCATTCTATGGCTTCCTAGCTAAGCTAGTCTTTTGACATATAGCACTGGAGTGACCCTCTTCCTCACCAGACCTGAACCCGGATATTTTTCCCCACCAGTCTCGACTACTTCGACTGCTGCACCGCTCAGAGACCTACGGATCCTAGCATGATTCTAATAGTGCAAGGATGCACTGTCAACCGTGCTATGTTACCTTAAGTTTCGTGGCAGATACGCAATTTTTCGTCACTCTGCTCGTAATTTTTACCTACAACGGTACGATGAAGACGATCCATGATAAGATGAGACCAATCGACTAATGGCATCTTTGGCCACACCTCAGCATGGCTAGTCTTAGAGATAACATTCAACATGAAATCGTGCACAGTACTCTTGCATACGTTCAAATACTTCGCGATTTTCCTAGTGCTCACCCCCTTATGCAAAAGCGTGGGTCTAGGAAGAGTGCGAGAAGATCCCTGTAAAGGTTTGCACTAACCTCGTAGATAACATGCCTAGGAGGGTGTAGGTGGTGATCAAGGCCAAGTGTCGGTTGACTAGGTACTAGTTTTGCTAGTAACTAGTTTGCTACATGTCCCCGGTACAAATTGTCCGGATGTGCTGTTATTGTTGAGTGACCCGCTGGGGTTGCCCTTGAGATCCTCGGGGAAGGGCCACAGGTGCAGAGCCTGGGGGGCTATGGGCGCACTTACCCGCTATTCAACAAGCCCTTTTAACCCAGTGGTTAGTGACTGGGTTTCTGACAGTTATTCAATGTTGTCGTCTTGAAGGACCATGAAATATACTACTCTGGTTCTAGGAGATTTGAGTGAGTGCTCTAACTGATCCTCTCTACGTGTATGGCCACCATGAATTAAGGCTTAATGTTTATAGCGTACAGCTCATCAAAATGTGAAAATATGCTAAACATGTGGACAATTGTTTCCGCCACTGTATCTGAATTCTCAGACGAAATTCTACACCTAGTCTGTACTTTCAGACGAAATCTTATGGCTTATCTGGACGATCAGACGAATTAATTTAGCCTGTCAAAAAATCAGATGAAAGAGAAAAAAATGATCTGATTTTCAGACCATCAGACCGATTTCGTCTGATATCTGAGACCCTGATACCTAGCTAGCCTAGGAGCACACGGTCGTGGCTCGGCAGAGCTGCGACGTGTGGTTCGTAAAATGGCGAGGAGCTCCCAGATCTAGGCACGCAACAACAAGGCGGGCAACAATGCATGCGGTTCGTCAAGACCACATTTGGGACCGCGATTTGAATTTCGTGGCAGAGCTGTGCGACAACCACGTTATAGCAGTGTGCTCCTTCCTTACTGACTAAAAATCTGTGATAAGGAAATACCATTTTCTTATAGTTATGCAGGTAGAAATTGTTTCTGATTTGCTCGAGTCAAGTTCCTTCACAAGCTTTCTTCCAAAACGCATTACCAATATAACATTGTTACACCATACTAAGAACAATAACGAATGGGCGCCATTCTAAACGCGAAATGCAATCATTGAACCACTGCCATGATGTCTCCCTCCCGCACGAAGCAAAACCTGTCGGAGCCGTCCCCGATAGCAACCTGACAAGGGAACACAGCGAGACAAGCGCAGTCATGCACTGGCCTTGATCAAGGCACTGGGTCGTGATGATGCCCCCATGGCCCGGTGGTGCAGGAGAGCATGGCTGCCACACGCGTAGCGCGCGCGTTACGAGAGGTGAGCAGAGGGAAAGGCAGGCAGTGGTGGCACCAGGCGGGTGCATGCTGGCATCCTACCAACCAGGGCACGGCACAGGGGAGAATGAAAGCTCACCTCATATGCATTCATATCGGGAAACATGACCTGCAGACACGGACACGCACAGGGCCATGGCAATAAGTTAGCGCGCTGCGATCCACAATGAGGTTTCAAGGGCATGCTTCAGTGGTGCCTGTCGTGTTCTAGTGGCAGTGCCAGTGCTTCACTACCCACCAGCACTCTCCGGCAAGAATACTCGGAGAATGTCCCAGTGCGCAGTGAGAGAGTACCAGGGGGGTGAGTGAGAGTAAATTTCGCAGCTTGTGTCAGACTCGAGGTCAGTCAGCATTGGGTCTTAGATCCCTTGGGAGGCCTGACACGGACCATCAGATTCTCCCCATGTGGGCAGTTTTTTCCTCCGGTTATATGCCTGACCTCAAGTCTGACACGAGCTGCAGAATTTACCCTGAGGCAGGTGAGGGAGGGAGGGAGGTTCAAGAGTGCGAGGGAGGTGAGGGAGGGAGGGAGGTTCAAGAGTGCGAGGGAGGTGAGGGAGGGAGGGAGGTTCAAGAGTGCGAGGGAGGTGAGTGAGGGAGGGAGGTTCAAGAGTGCGAGGGAGGTGAGGGAGGGAGGGAGGTTCAAGATTGCGAGGGAGGTGAGGGAGGGAGGGAGGTTCAAGAGTGCGAGGGAGGTGAGTGAGGGAGGGAGGTTCAAGAGTGCGAGGCAGGTGAGTGAGGGAGGGAGGTTCAAGAGTGCAAGGGAGGTGAGTGAGGGAGGGAGGTTCAAGAGTGCGAGGGAGGTGAGTGAGGGAGGGAGGTTCAAGAGTGCGAGGCAGGTGAGTGAGGGAGGGAGGTTCAAGAGTGCGAGGGAGGTGAGTGAGGGAGGGAGGTTCAAGAGTGCGAGGGAGGTGAGTGAGGGAGGGAGCAAGGTACAAAAAAACGGCGTATTTTTCCTTCTTAGCCCTTATCATACTGTACCGAAATATACGACCGTTTAATACGAAAAAAAAGGTCTTGGGTGCGTTTTCATGTGTGTGCAAAAAAACGGTCGTATTATACGGTCGTTTTTTTTAATGGGAGGTGTACTAGGTTTATAATTGCCAATCGAGGTCTTGTTATGTGGTTGGGTTTGCTCGCGCTGTTGGGAAATTGTTCGCTCAACATTTTAGGGTTGAGGAGGAGGGGGCTGAGGAGGAAGAGGAGGAGGAGGAGGAGGAGTCATTTGGAGGAGGACGACGAGTAGACACTTGGAGGAGTAGGGGAAGGCTTAGGAGGATTAGGGGGGGGAGGCTCACAAGGAAGCCTAGGAGCATTAGGGGGGAGGTTTAGGAGGAGGAGGGGGAGGCTTAGGATGAGGATGGGGAGGTAGACACCTGTAGGAGGAGGGGGTAGACTTATCGAATGTAGAGGCGTTTCTATCTGTAGCCGCATTTAGATGCTGTTTTGACGTTAGTAAGCCCATGGCAGTTGTCCCCACCTGTTTACTGGTCCGAGTAGGGTTTTTTTTTTAAAGCACATTTTCGACTATTAAAAATTCGGCGTTTTTTTCCTTAAATCACCGAAAAAAACGGCCGTTTAATACAGTCCATTTTTTTCGGCTGCCGTATTTTTGCACCTTGGGAGGGAGGTTCAAGAGTGCGAGGGAGGTGAGTGAGGGAGGGAGGTTCAAGAGTGCGAGGGAGGTGAGGGAGTAGACATGATCAAAACGCGATTGCGATTTAAATCGCATCGCATGCAGGTGCGATGTTTAAAAAAGCGATGCGATTTTAAATCGTATCGCGCGATTTATTTTTCAAAAAACAAAATCGCACATCGCATTTTACCCGCGATGTATTAAAAAATCGCATGCGATATTTAATTAAATCGCGCAATGCGATTTTAAATCGCATCGCGTTTTAAAACATAATAAAGAAACACCCCAAAAAAACAGAAAAAGAAATGGCTGCGGGGAAATTGACTCACGGGCAGTCGTAAGCTAGAGTGCAAATAACCAGTGTGGTTTCGTAGTGGGTTTCAGTGCAATATCGCGCGCGATTTTTTTTAACTCGCATATCGCATTTAAATCGCGTTTTTTAGCGCGATTAAAATGCGAATTAAATTAAATCGCGCGATATTAATTCATCGCATCGCGCGATGATTAAAAAAAAAAAAAAAAAAAAACATCGCCATCGCAAAAACGCGATTAAATGCGATGCGATGCGATGCGATTTTTTTTGCCCATGTCTATGAGGGAGGGAGGGAGGTTCAAGAGTGAGAGGGAGGTGAGGGAGGGAGGGAGGTTCAAGAGTGCGAGGGAGGTGAGTGAGGGAGGGAGGTGGGAGAGTGTGAGGGAGGGAGGTGGGAGGTTGTGAGGGAGGTAAGTGAGTGAGGGAGGTGAGAGGGTGTGAGAGAGGTGAGCGAGTGAGGGAGGTGGGAGAGTGTGAGGGAGGTGCAAGTGTGAGGGAGGTGAGAGTGGGAGGGAGGTGAGAGTGGGAGGGAGGTGAGTGAGCGAGGAGGTGAGAGAGGTGAGCGAGTGAGGGAGGCGGGAGGGTGTGCGGAAGGTTGAGAGTGTGAGGGAGGTGAAGAAACGTGATAGAGGTGAGAGAAGTGAGAGAGAGGTGGGGGTGAGCGATTGTGAGGGAGGTGAGTGTGAGGCAGGCGGGTGAGTGTGAGGCAGGTGGGTGAGTGTGAGGCAGGTGGGTGAGTGTGAGGCAGGTGGGTGAGTGTGAGGCAGGTGGGTGAGTGTGAGGCAGGTGGGTGAGTGTGAGGCAGGTGGGTGAGTGTGAGGCAGGTGGGTGAGTGTGAGGCAGGTGGGTGAATTGGAGGACAGTGAACGAGTGAGAGGTGGGTGGCCATGTGCCGTTGGCTGACCTTCTGCCCCGCTGACGTCTTCTTCACTTCCTCCCCGGCTGACACCACCTATGCGCGCCACACGCACCAGCACAGGCAGAATGGAGTCCAGTCAGATGCGGCGGGAGGGATAGAGAAGCGAGCATGCAGTCGACGCAAGTCGAGAGGTCATGAGGCAAGGAGCCTGTGTGGTGGTTGCAGGGGCGCACCTGGCCGGTGAGGTAGCGCTCATACTTGACCGCCTGGGTGGGCAGCAGCACGCCGCCTGCCGTCGCCTGCACGGGCAGCACCACGCGCACGCACACACAGGAGGGCGCTGAGCACCACAGCACTGGACACCACTGATGAAGCTGGTCGGGGCGTGCTTCACTGTGCGCGTGATACAAGCGGAAACAGCATCAAGGACTTGAAGAAGCGAGACGGCAGCCAGGGAGGAAGGGAGGGTGGAGGGCGAGGACAAAGAGTCAGTGGGGAGGACAAAGAGTCAGTGGGGAGGTGCAACAGCAGGGAGGAACCGACGGGCTCTGGTGCAAAAGGGAGCGAGGGGGGAAAAGAGGGGAGGGAGGGACAGACGGGGTTGCTGGACAAGATGCATCCGGCTGCTGTCAGGTGGGCGGCTGTCGGGTGGGTGGCTGTCAGGTGGGCGGTTGTCCGGTGGGCGGCTGTCAGGTGGGCGGCTGTCAGGTGGGCGGCTGTCGGGTGGGTGGCTGTCAGGTGGGCGGCAGTCGGGTTGGTGTCTGTCGGGTGGGCGGCTGTCAGGTGGTCGGCTGTCAGGTGGGCGGCTGTCAGGTGGGCGGCTGACAGGTGGGCGGCATCGCAGCAGCATGTGGAGCGGCTCCATGGCAGCAAGCAGTCAGCATCACAGCATCACGGCATCACGGCATCACGGCAGCACCGCAGCACCACAGCACCACAGCACCGCAGCACCGCAGCACCGCAGCACCGCAGCACCGCAGCACCGCAGCACCGCAGCACCGCAGCACCACAGCAGCACAGCAGCACAGCAGCACAGCACCACAGCACCACAGCACCACAGCACCGCAGCACCGCAGCACCCCAGCACCCCAGCACCGCAGCACCGCAGCACCGCAGCACCACAGCACCACAGCACCACAGCACCACAGCACCGCAGCACCGCAGCACCACAGCACCACAGCACCACAGCACCACAGCACCGCAGCACCGCAGCACCACAGCACCACAGCACCACAGCACCACAGCACCACAGCACCACAGCACCACAGCACCACAGCACCGCTCACCTGCTCGAGCGCGTCCAGCTTCACCAGCACTCGCTCGCCACGTGGCTGGACCTGAACGGGGGGAGGTGAGTGGAGGGGGGGGGGAGCGGAGTGAGAGGGAGCAACGCGGGCGGGTGATGATGTGGTGAGAGTGCGATGGTCGACACCTCGCGTGCGCGCAGCATGCCATCGCTGCTGCCCTCAACCGCATCTCATTACCTGCGGCTCGCGTCTCTAAAGTTGCCTACATGCTGTCACCATGCTACCAATGAAATGTGTTCGCATGTGCCTCTGGTCTCGAGCGCGTGATACGCGTACGCCAGAGCGTGTCGTTGACTCGTGCACGGTCAGCTCCGCACGCCAAGGCGCGTTGTTGACTCCGCGCGCGGTGTCGCCGCGTGCAGCACCTCACTCCGCTGCGCATTGCCTCGCGCGCGCCACACGAGCTCCGCACCAACGCACCATGTCCAGCCTACCGACGCCAAGCGCTATCACTCGAGCCTCACCTGCACGTGCCTGGGCTCCTCGCGCCTCACATCTCCTCGCGCCTCACATCTCCTCGCGCCTCACATCTCCTCGCCCCCTCGCCTGCCAGCCCTTGCCCCAACCGCCCCCCACCGCCTCACCCGCTTGTCGCTCAGCGCCTGCGCGATCTCCGCCGCGCTCATGGCGGCGAGCACGCCCACCGCCGCCGACGACGCGCGAGAGGCGACTCTTCTGGAATGGGCGGCCGGTGGGAAGGCGAGGCTCGGCGTGCTGACGTGGCAGTTGCGCGCGCTGCTGAGATTGGAGAGCGTGGCGGCCTGTGAGGGGTGGACGGGGAAACGCGACGCACGGTGAGACCGGAGGGACGCCGGGGAGCAAGACCGTTCACGGCGACATGGGGCGACGAGGCAAGACGACAGTGTGGGAGCCATGAACAGTAAACCGCACGCGGACGCAACGAAGCGCGTGAGAGAGAGAGAGAGAGCGAACAAGGGATTGCTTCGACGGAGCATTGGATGCGCAAGTGGCGTGCAAGCGGGACAAGAGGGGCGCGGGGCAGAACTGCGGCAGACGCGGAGAGCGTGCCTAGGAGCATGGTCGTGGGGGGGAGAAGAATGGCACGCGGCAGAGGCCTCACCGCGTATGAGGCTTGCTGCGCGCAGGGGATCGACACGGGCGCCATGGCGGCTTCTCGGTCTGTGCGTCGACGGGCGCGCTGCGAGCGACGGAAAAGTTCTAAGGAGGCGAGGTTAGGGGCGAAGGGAAAAGCGCAGTAAGCGGAGAGCAGTGGGAGGTGTGAAAGACAAAAGGTGAGTGCGATGGGTTTGGGGGACACGATGGCGAGCTGCTCGGGCTTCGCGAAGCTCCCAATCGCATCCACGAGTGGTTTGTCGATGCCTGCTCGTGCTTTCTGACGTGTCGTGCTGCGCCCCTGGCAGCAGTCCATCTCGATTATTCGTTGCAGACAAAACGCCACGTAGGAACGCTCCACGACTCGCCATGGAACGGCAGAAGTGTTCAGATTGAGCAGAAAGGCTAGTAACAGAGAGATAACAAAACTGAAATGAAATGAAATGGAACAAGTGTCAAAGAAATTGTCTTCGGGTTGCGGAGCTATTTGATCCCATGACAAAATGTGGTTATTTATAGATTCTGTATTTCTATACACTAGCTTGTATTCTTTTTTTTTAGAGAACAATATCATTTACATTTCTTCGCTGCATTGGAAGTAAATAAAACAAGAGGCGACTAAATCGTCTTAGGGTTGCGGAGCTGTCATATAATGGAAATATCAAATGAAATGTTGGTGTTAAAATAAGAATACCATTTAAAGTGTACCATTGTTATAACTTAAAGCACGCAACCCAAATTGCAAGGCGCGACCTTCAAACGCACTGCGTTTGAAAGTCGCGTTTTCGTGGGTCTAGATGGGGGTCGCGTCACTCGGGGCTGGCTTTCAAGTTCAACACGGAACGTATTTTGGGACACCAAGTGCCTCGCGTTTTTCAGCCGTCCAATATTTGTTGATTTCCATCTAACGGCGCGCAAGTAAAGTGCTTCCCCAAGTCAATCGAAATATAATCTCAGCCGTCGCACTGCCTGCATGCAAATCGGACGATCTACGAAAAAATCACAAATTCGCGACATGAAATACCCTCACGAGTTTTCTGTGTATTTCATCCAGGCCGATGCTCACAGTTCATACGCAGTGCATATGAACAATTTGGGCCGCGGGTTTTAAGTTTCAAACGCATTGTTTGTAACTACAACAATTTTCAAGGTACACATTGTTTGATATTACATTTGTCTCAATCGTCTTATTTGGGTACGCCTAGTATTTTTCTTACTTTTGATGAGCTTGTAAAATTATGGTGTCATTTTCCACCAACCTGATGTCATGCTATTTTTTTGCCAAATGACAAAACGATACTACAAATGATTGTTCTGTTTGTTTTATTCATGCTTATTGTCAACTTATACATATGTTGTATGTAGAAGTTATGGGCTAGCCTAGGTGTGTGCTTCTAGAGAGTACAACCCCAACAGGTATATGTATCAAAATAATTGAATGATGGTAAAGATGAGAGTACACACAAATATACCTAAGTGTTGTACCCTCTAAGCGGTAACCCTATACAGTCTATACAAACATAACAAATACAGATGTTTGACACACCCCCTAGACTGCATAGGGGAATACCCTAAACAAGCAGCTCAGGGCGGCACTACTAGTCCAACCTCTGAGACAAGGGTCTGAGAGACCAGTTAGAAGGAGTACAGACAAGGAAAGAACAAGAGCAGGGCGGCACTACTAGTCCAGCCACTGGGAGAGGACACAAGTCCAGTCTGAGTATACATATAAAGGACAGTACAAGTCAAGGTCCTAGCAAGTGAGAAGCAACAGGAACTAGACCAAGCTGTACACAGTGCCGCTGATGATCTTTAGGCGCAAGCGCCTTCGTAAAGATATCAGCTGTGTTGGCACCTGAGGCCAAGTGTACTACGCGAGCCTGACGTCGCTGCTGTAGCTCACGCAGGAGGAAGTACCGCAACTGAATGTGCTTCGCTCTGCCCTCGAGTCGAGGCTCCTGACACAGGAGGATCATGGCCCTGTTGTCAGCGAACAGGACCGGGGCAGAGCTCGGCCGCTCACCTAAGTCAGTGAGCAAGAAGGTCAGCCAGCGGAGCTCCTGTGCCGCCATGGCACCAGCGTAGATCTCAGCCTCACAGCTGGACTGCGCAACAGACGAGGAGCGAGTAGCTCTCCACGAGACGGCACCTGAGCCAAGGCTGAAGCAGTAGCCCTGGGTAGACCTGAGTGTCTCAGCGTCGTCTGCCCACGAAGCGTCTGTGTGTCCAGTAAGGACCACTGGCCTGCGTCCTCCAAGCACTAACCCCATGCCCGATGTACTAGCAAGATAACGCAGAACCCTCGAAGCGGCAGACCAGTGCTGCGGTCGGTGTCTGCCTGTGGCCACAAAGCGCGCCAGGATGCTGAGAGGGTATGCGAGATCTGGGCGAGTGCAAGTCATCAGGTGCATCAGGCAACCCACCAGCTCTGCGTAGGGGCCGCTGGGCTCTACCAACTCCTCAGGTACTGGAGCGGAGAGTCTGTGGTCTACAGGCAGAGGGGTGGGCTGTGCAGAGGAGAACTGAAGGCTGAACCTCTGAAGGACCTGGCGCACCAAGTGTGACTGAGTCAGGGTGATGGTGCGCGCAGCTCTGTCCCTGGAGATCTGCAAGCCAAGGTAACGGCGCAGTTCTCCAAGGTCAGTGCAGGTGTGTCTCTTCAGCAGCTCTGCCTTCACGGAGGCCAGTGCGTCCCTATCTGCCGTGGCAAAGACCAGGTCGTCGACGTAAACAAGGATGTAGAACGGAGTCTGGCCAGCACGAACGAAGAGTGAAGGGTCTGCGGAAGACGGAAAGAACTGCAGGTCAGCAAGGGTAGCACGGAGAGTGTCGTGCCACTCACGGGGAGCCTGGCGCAGGCCGTAGACGGGGCGCCGCAGGAGCCACTGGGTCCCAGGAGGGAAGGTGCCAGTAAAGCCCGGAGGGCGACGCAGGTAGACCTGCTCGTGTAGGCTGCCCTGAAGGAAGGCAGTGGAGAAGTCGAGGGAGTGAAGCTCGTAGTCACGCTGAGCAGCTAGGTGTAACAGAACCCGAAGAGTAGTCATCTTCGGGGTCGGAGCGAAAGTCTGGAAGAAGTCCACCCCCTCGCGCTGACTGAAGCCTCTAGCCACATAGCGCGCCTTGAAGACAGGCGGCTCTCCAGGAGGGCGCTTCACCTTGAAGAGCCAGCGGCCATCGACTACGTTCACCCCAGGTGGGGGAACTGCGTCGACGAAGGTGCCGGTGGATCTCCAAGATGCCATCTCCTGCTCCATGGCAGCTATCCACTGCGAGGCCCAGGGTCCCGAAGTCGCCTCAGCGTAAGTGCGAGGGGTCGGGATGTCGAGAGCGTCTGGGTCACCCTCAGGGACTAGCAGCATGGAACAGAGATGGGGAGCAGCCTCGGAGAGGAAAGCAAGCTCGACCTGGCGGTCCTCCAGGACGTTACTGCCAAGGGCAGGAGCACCCCCGACAGACGGAGGACAGGCAAGGTCAGAGACCAGAGCGGTGGCGTAGTCAAGGCGGCGGGTAGAGGCGAAGTCAGCGACAGCAGCGACAAGAGCGTCAAGGCACGAGACCGGAACAGACGGGTCGGTAACGAGAGAGGCAAGGACCCGAGGAACGAGAGGACGAGCGGCACGAAGGTAGTCGGACAGCGGGGGGGGCGCAACAACAAGGGAGGACGGAGGAGGCGACGGGAGAAGGGGAGGACGAGACGCGTGGGAACGAAGCAACATAGGGTGGGAGCGCAAGACAGGCGAGGCAGGACGAGCACGGGAGGGGCGGTGAGACCAGACGTGCGACGGAGGAGTCGGGTCAGGAGACAGGGGAGGGGACACAGGAGGGGAACGAGGGGGGAGACGAGCCGGGGACGAGTCCGGCGGAGGAAAAACAGGGCCGTAGACAGGAAGAGGAGGAGACGGTCGGGGAGGAACCAACGCAGGGTCGGGGGACGGAAGGCCGAGCAGGCGAAGGGCTGACACCGGCGGGGACTGCTGCTGCGGCGGCACAACGGCGACACCTGGACCGCAAGCTGCTCCTCGGCTACCACCGGCACTCTCCACACCAGCACCCCCAGAGGGACCACCCCCAGGGCGACCGGGACGAGCACCCCCAGAGTCAGCGAACGGGTGCTGTGACGGCGGCGGCGGCGGCGGCGGTGGCGGCAGAGGCGGTGGAGGAGGGGACTGGGGAGGGGACGCCAGGGGAGGGGAGGCCGGCGAGGACTGAACAGGAGGGCCACCAGAGTCAGAAGACTCCTCAACCGGGTCCACCGACGGAAGGGGGGTAACGTGGGACACACCAGAGGGGGCAGGACGGGGAGGAGGAGGGGGGGGGGCAGGGACTACCGGGGAAGGGGTGACCAGGAACAGGGGGGGGGTAACCGGGGGACCACGGTGGGGAAAGCGGCGGTAGTAGGAGACGGACTCGTCAAAGGTGACGTCACGAGAGTGAAAGAAGCGGTGAGACGGCGGGTGGTAAAAGTGCCAGTCGGACGCGTCAAGGGGAAAACCGAGAAAGACGCAGGGAAGGGTGCGGGCAGTGAGCTTGTCCGTGCCGGAGGCACGGACGTGAGCAAGGCAGCCCCAGACGTAGAACGCAGACGCGTCACCAGGAGACCCAGTCCAAAGACGGGTCGGTGAAACCTGCGGCTGCTGAGGGTGCGGCCACAGGTTAAGCTGATGAGAAGCGTAGCGCACAGCGAACGGCCACAGAAAATGGGGTGCACCGGCATGGATCATGGAGGTGCGAGCGACCTCCATGACCAAACCGATGCATCGCTCAGCGACCCCATTCTGCTGTGGGGAGTCCGGTAGGGTGAACGTCTGGGTGATGCCCTCCGCACGACAAAAACGACCAAGGACACCGGAGGCAAACTCGCCACCACGGTCTGAGTGAAGACGCAAGACAGGGAGACCGCGGTGGACACGCGCAGAGACAAGCCAGGGGATGAGGGCGCCAGGCACGTCGGCCTTGCGCTCCAGTGGAAAGACTGTGGTGTAACGAGTGAAGTCGTCGACAAGCACAAGGAAGTAGCGCTCTCGACGCGGCCCAGGGACGGGGGCGGGGCCCCAGACGTCCAGGTGCAGGGTCTGCAGCGGCGCGGCGGTAGGGGGAAACGAGGAGGAGTGAGGGGCACGGCGAAGCCGACCCTCGACACAAGGCGTGCAAGGTGGGGCTGGAG